TTTTTATATTGTCCTTTAAAATAAGACTCTAAAGTTGAATTCATAATGTTGACGTCTGTCTGTCTGTCTGTAAACTCTTTCACAGTAGATCAAGAAGATGTTTTTTACTATGGTGCAGACCATGCTGATCTAGACCATTCTCCTCCATTCATTCTTTCTACATTCATTGCTCCTACAGACATTCCTCCTACAGGAGGTACTGCATCCATGTCCTTTATTTGATCATCTGTCAGATTTCTGTTCTGTAACAATTAAAGCCTCAACCAAAGTTGATTCATTTTAAATGAGGATGAATGAGTGAATGTGAAGGCAGTAGTCAACGCGGCTAATGTGAAACACGAAGCCCAAACTGATTCATCGTTTGATAAATGACTGCGTCTGTTTTTCTTTAGTTCTTATTTCTCACAGGTTTTTGCTCAAAGGTCAGCCAGTACCGATCTGCTTCGATGTCGATGGAAATATTACCCTAAAACTGCTCCATGTTCCTGACAGAGGTCAGTAAAGTGTTCTTTTTCCCCATCAACATTTTTCTTTCTTTAAAAAGTACTTCAAACTAATTTGTTGACTAGGGATTTCCGATATTATTATTTGGGCTGATATCCGATATGGATGTTCTGCATACAATCCCCTTATTATCAAAATGGATTATTAAATTGAGCTGCAATGCTGCCATCTAGTGACTTTCACATACAGCCGTTTTTCCATTTTTTTTTTTTTAATTTCTCAAAACCCAGACATTGAGTTATCAGGTTTTCATTGTCGGAGAAAAAAAACTGATAACGATTCTTACAGATCCTACATTATTATACTAATATCGAGCCGATGATATCGGTCGGCCGATATTGTCGGACATCCCTAGCGTTGACCTTTGGCCTATGTTAGCATGGGTGGTATATGTCGAACGGTCATTGTGGTTTATTTTGCTCCAGACCTGATTGTGACTGGGGAGCTGGGCCACTTCCAAAGCGAAGGCTTCTTGTGGGTCACCATTCAACTCACTGCTGACCTGGACATCAGGATTGGTCCAGGAGATATCACTGTACATGACCATGGTCAGAGGAGCGTCTACACTCAAGAGGAACACAACATAACAGTTGGAAGGTGCTGTTGTAAATAATGATTTGGTTTCAGAGCCGCCTCTTTTGTAAATTGTTAAACAAATGTCTTTAACTTAGAAAGAGCCGGACAGACCGGAACAATTTTTCCATCAGTTAATTAAAAAAAAAACAACTTTGTTTTTACTCAAAGTAAATGTTTTACTTTTACTCGAGTAGATGGGTACTTTTACTCGAGTAGAATTTAAGCAACGTAAAGAAACTTTGCTTAAATTTATAAATTTTAACCCACATAATTTTAAGAAATAAAATGTTTGTTTTTTTTTCTCCCCCCAGTCTGACAGTGACTAAACACAACAGGGAAGTAGACGTTGTAGCCGGAGATGTTCGAATTGTCATCTTGCTGCATGAGAGTCACGGTAAACCGTTCCTGTGGCCGGTGTTGAAGGAACGGCCGAACAACAACGAGAACCTGGAAGGCATTTTAGGTGAGGAGGACAAGTCTTTGATGTCTTACAGTTTCGTTTTATTGTTGAATAGAAAAAACTTAAAATGTTGGTATGAAGTCACAAACACGAGGCCAACAGCGACGTCGTATAAAAAGTATGAGAGGATGTTGTTCTGTTCAAAGGGATGATTTTCTATTTAGGATATATATAATAAAATATAAAATAAATATTACTATTATTATGAATAATAAATAAACAAATCTGGGAAATTGCATATATAATAAAATATAAAATAAATATTTTCAAATGTATTAATAATTTAATATTATTATTAATTTTGCGAACCGAGAAATAACACTATATCACTATAATAACATGTGACAACATGTGATACACGGGTGACCTTCCATGTCTGTGTTGTTTTTGCTGTGGTTCCAGGTCTGAAGCCAACGAGTTACGAGGAGGTGCAGCAAACCCCGGTGACCAAAGTGAAGATCAACGACCGGGAGATTGACGTCATCAGGTGAACTCTGCTCCCAGTTAATGACTTCCGTCGAGAAAGGAACCTGTGATATTATAACGATGCGTTCGCTGTCTCCCGTGTGCACGCAGATCCACAGCCACAGACCACAGCGCTGCCTCGTCCTCACCGGTGGACTGCTGGTGGATGGCTGCTGACGACGCACTGCAGAGACCTCTCAATCACTTCACTGTCTAAAAAATCTCTAAGAGCAAATAAAAGGTTGAAAAAAAAAAGGAAACACTTGTTCACCAAGAGGGAATGGTTCTACCTCCTAACATTGAAAATAAATGGGATTGATCTTAGATTAATGTTTGTTTTCTCTGTCGTCGATGAAATGATTTTATTTCAGTGTCACGCTGCACAAAGCTCCACAACCAAAACCCTTTTTTTTTGTTTTTTTTTTCTACCAAGTGGACACATTTAAGAAAACAAATTTGCATTTTTAAGAACACATTTGCATTCTGGGAAACCCCAGGTGGGAAAAAAACTGGCCTTCATTGTATCACCTGTGTGATTTTGTTTCCTTTCTTTAAAAAAGCAAATTAGAAACAGAAAGATTTCACCTTCAGATAAAGTACTGTGTGCTTTTCAAAGTTTTTCAAAATCGAGCCAAAGAATTTGTTTAAACTGATGCCCGTGGTTGTAGTAACGGGTCCAAACTGCAGCAGGGCGACCTCCGGGTAGAAGAACCGTAGGAAGCTGTAACTGTTGAAGAAAGTCATAAAGCTCTTGGTTTCATTCGGTTGCAAACGCTGCTCTGACATTAGCTTAGCATGTAGCATGGCTGAATAACAGATACGAAGAGAGTTGAGACGGCGTTTACCAGCCGTCCTGTCAGATGAGCTCAGATTTTTTGTTCACATCATAGTCGTAGGATTAGCACAGAACTATAGTTGAGGCTGAGCTGAAGCCCAGTGAGTCCCAACCTCTGTGCCGTGGCCCACCAACGTGCCGGGAGAGATCATTAGCTGCTCCGCTAAAAATGATGTAATTCCACTTAACTGGGCTGAACGAAAACCTTTAAGTATGAAAAAACAAAACAAAAATGATGTAATTCCACTTAACTGGGATGAACAAAAACCTTTAAGTATGAAAACTAAAAAAAAAACAAAAAAAACTGCGCTGTTGAAGAAGATCTTTGTGTGTGTCTTTCTTCAATTCCTGCGAGTATGTTAGCGTTGTCTTCAACTAAACGGGTCGAGATTTCACACAGAGTAAATTTAAACTAAAGGATTACTATATATATATTATACGTATATAATTAACCAAACAAAATCAAAGTTGGAACTGAATTATGCTGACAGCAGTTGTCAGAAACAACGCCACCACTGGCAGTCGAAGGCCACTGCAGATGATCATAACGCTGCCAATCCGACAAATGACCTTTTTTTTTTTCAGTCATTTCTTCGTATCATTAACATCATCATTTGGAGCGAGATTTATGTTCAGCCTTCAGTCTTTGTGGAACACTGACAGAGAAAGTGGTCAAACCAGTCTGACCGCTCAACCTGTCTGTCTGTGTGTGTCTGTGTGTGTGTCTGTGTGTGTCTGTGTGTGTGTGTGGTTTGCCTTTCATTCACTCTACATATTATCTGTGCTTCAGACGTTGACAAGATTATGGGTTTTCTCCGAAGTGATAAACTTGTCTGACAGGCTCGTGGTTACGGGAATTAGCGAGCGAGGACTCGAGGCCGGATCCACGTAATCCAGAGAACGCAGCGTCGGGCGAGCAGTGGAGCTGACCCTGAAACAAACGCAGGTCAGAGTGGGAAAAGTTGACTGTTGAGTGTGGAGCTGAGGAGGCCGTGCTGCTCTGATTGTGCTGTTATCAGGAAGTGTTTTGGTTGTGAGCGTTCCAGCACGATAGCAGACAGAAAAAAAAAAAACAGAGAGAAAGAGGGAGAAAGGTCCACAGGGAGCAGCAGAGGGAGGGGCCACTCACCTGAGTCAGAACACAGACATGCTGCGTGGAGCAACACTGACATGACTCATCTCTGGGCAACACTGTCAGACAACGGAGCCGAGAGGAAACAGACGGGACGGCAGACGGACCGGGACGACAGACGGACCGGGACGACAGACGGACCAGGACGACAGACGGACCAGGACTGGGTCGCTGAGGACGGTGAGTCACACAGCAGTGTTTGGATTGTTGTTTGTTTGTTTGTTTGTTTGCTGTTAAGAAAAACAACCACCAAACACTCAGATTCAGAAATCTTTTATTTGACGTGAACTTTGATTTAATAAAACCAAACTCCAGAGACAAATTTGATTTGGATTTGTTTGTTGGTTTCGACCCCAACAGGAGGGCGGCGCTAACGCCCTCTACTGATTTCAGCAGACGTTTGTCTGGATTATATGTCAAGACAAAAAAAAACAACAACAAAAACCCTGAATCTGTGCTAATTGTGTTATTTTGCTCATTTGCTGATTAATCATTTGATTTTTTTTATTTATTTATTAAACGGCAGCTTTATTGTCATTGAACACAGTGTCCTCTGTGTTATGTAACTTTGAATCCACCTGGGGTTGTGGGGGGGGGGGCTGGGCAGCACCATTAGGGCTGGAATTTGAACCAGAAGGCTGGCTCCTTAAACACAAACTTCTAGTTGGTTAATTGGTTATTTATTTTATTTTATTTTTTTGTCTTTTTTCTGAAGACACAAATGAGGGCAGTTCACTTTTCTACCTCGTTTACGAAGTCCGTTTTTTTAAACATGCTGTGACATGATCAGCCTTTAATATTCCTGTGTTTTTTTTCTTCTCTCAGGTCAAACCCAGGGGTCACACCAGGTGACCTCCAGTGTTTACAGGTCGTCTCCGGTCACTGCTCACGGTGCCAGGCTACGAGGCTGAAAAGTTAATCTTCAAACTAAAGTCATGAGGAGGAGAAAGTCCCAGGACGTCTGCGTGGAGGCTCCCACGCTGCTGCTGCTGCTGCCGCTGGGAACTCCAGTGTGAAAAAAAAAAACCCCAGA